GTTAGTATTCTTAAATTACTGCCGATGATAAAGACGCGTAATGCGAGTTAAAAGTTTGACCGTGGAGTTAGTCTCACTAATTAACTAGGATTAAAATTAAACCGAGCTTACGATAATATCTGTGTTCTATGAATTGAAGAGGACATTTTGCTGTAATAGAAATTGTTGGACTTCATAGTGTATTGCTGGCCACTTAAAGCTACTTTTATTTTCTTTAAAAAGAATGTACATAAATTTGAGTTGTTAATTTTGTCATAAGAAAAATATACGATTTTATTTTACTCTTTTTTGCATCGATTTATTTTATATAGTTATAGAGTAGATGCAATAGCTTTCTGCACATAAAGAAGTGACATACAAACATAATACATACAATATTATCCACCACAGAAATAGAAATATTCAGTACTAGTTATACTCGCGGTTTACCCACATGAAATTTGTAGTCTAGTCTGTGTTATTCTGTATTACTGTAAAGTTTCATCAAAATCAGTTTGGTATTGTTTTCGTGAAGAAGTAACAAACATCCATCCACACACACATTGACTTTTGTGATGTGTTCAAATATTATAAACTCGTCTTGGCACAACAATACTGATATAATAAAAAAACTAACAACAATTTAAATTATTTATTTAACTTCAATGCACACAATATACAAAATATAGTAAAGTACATTTGGCTGACTTAACACCATACGGCAGTTTCTACCAGGCAACCATAGGTGTAATAATGTAAATTAAATATTGTAATGGGTGAAAACTGTGATTGGTACGGCCTATGCTGTAAATAATATAAATGACGTAGTGGAGTAACTTGAAACAGTCATGCTCGCTGTAAAGTTCAAACTTGTGGCGGCGTGGTGGGCCGGGGCGATGTGCTCCCTCTAATATTGTTGAGTGCAATGATGGCTGGCTCATCCGTCATACTCGTGAACGGGTACCGCTTGTGGGGACTGGTCTGTTTGGGTTGCGAACACTGATTAGACTATTTGCTTTTGCGATAACATATGCTAGTAGTCACGCTATTCTCCCAAGTTTGAATGTAAAAATTAATCTGTATTATTGTAAACATGTATAATATTAATTTGAAAAGAATACGAGCTGTGTTTCTTGTCAGTTCTTCTCATCTCAAAATCATTCCGAACTGACGGTAGATTTGACATATCATAAGAGTCTGTAATAGACCTACATGTATAAAGATATTTTGAATTCAATTCTATTCTAAAACTTGTTACTTACCAGCTTTAATCAGTATAAAATAAATTATATATTTTAGGACCCATAATTTTCTATTACACTAAGTTATAAACTTATTTTTTATAGTACTAAGTAAGGTCTTAAGAGCTTAATAGTCGATATAAATTCCAGTTTGTTATTAAAAGTATTAACCGCTAAAAGCTCGTATAGAAAATACTTTCATTTAGATCAGTGATTCTCAAAGTGGTCTATATAGATAGATAGATAGATATATCGTTTATTTGTTTGTTACACACAGTTTTATAAGACTATAAAACTGTGTCATTATGTGTGATCTCTAGCAATACAAAAAGGTCGAAGCTCAGCGTGGAATACTGTTCAGGGAACAAAACACTGATTTTCAGCTTCATTTGAGGGTACGTGAAAATAATAATTAAAATAAATATAAAATAAAGAGAGCAATATAATTGGTGATTGTCTGTGCGGTATGTGTATAATAAAAATAATGTAAATAGTTCACAGTATAATTACATATAATTTTAACTAAGTGGTAAGGATTAAACGAGAAAATAAAAATATTAATAAGAAAAAAAAAGAAAAAAATTAAAAATCGTTACGTGAGATTGCAACCGCTAGCCAAGAAATTTCTGTGGGATACCTAAAATTTGTTTTTTTTTAATAAGTATTCTTTGTGAGGTTTTTTAAAACTGTGTACGGTAGTTAGATGCCTGAATGATGGCGAGATGTTCTTCTAACATTTTGTTGCTTGGTATCGGAAGCTGCCAGTAAATGCCACTGTTCTGTGTACTTGAAATGATAATTTCGAACAAATGAACCTAACTCTCTCTAGATAGATAGATAGATAAGTTCTTTATTCAACAATTACAAACACATAGCATACATGAGATACATTTTAAATGTATGAATGTTACAAAATTAAAATGGAGGTGGCATTATGTGTCGCAATGATGAAGAGGCAACCAACTCAGCATGAAGCTACAGATAAGTCTGGCAGCGCTGATATTCTGTTGGCTCCTATAATTAAATACATACATACATACATATATATATATCGGCCCCCAGGGGTCTATGATAAACTGTAAGGTCTACGACAGCGGTTTTTACTTTATGTTTTCAACACTAAACTTTACTGTAGTAATTTGTAAATTAATTTATTGTTTTTTTAAAAAATCAATGGCAGGTAAGAATGGGGGGTCTACCCAAAACAGAAAAATATAGCAAGGGGTCTACGACACAAAAAAGTTTGGGAACCTCTGATTTAAATGGTCAGGTGATAAACTAAAAGCCTTTCTATATATCTATAAAACCTTATAAATATCTATACATACAAATAAAATTGGAGTGTCTGTTTGTATTATTGAAATAACCGTTTTTACTATATGCATATGAATATAAATATGATACATAAACCAAAATATTTTTTTTTACAACTGTTCTCTGCCTCTCTTTCTGTCTGTTTGTTCCGGCTAATCTCTGAAATGGCTGGGCCGATTTTGACGGGGTTTTTAGACTGCTTAAGTTTGTTTGAATAAATAATTTTCTGTTCTATTCTAACTTGACCATTTGCAACGTTTTTAATCCACTTGAAAGAAATTAGCATATGCCACAAGCTAGTATATAATTACAACAAAATATTCAACTCCATATTGCTCTTAATAGGGTCGAAATTAGTTTGTCGCTTGGCGCATTTTAAACGGTCTGTAATAAACGGGTGAGGCTGGATTCCACCAATCGCAGTATAAACAAGTTCAAGGAAACTGAGTTCAGAGTAAACTCGAAAAAAGAACGACGTTGATCTCGGTTTACTTTAAATGGAATTCAACAGTATTATATAGATCGCGTTTACCAAAATGAAGTTTAGATTTTCACTCGTTCGCAGTGTTACACGCTCGTAAAATAATATTTGATGTAATGGGTAATTTAATTATAATATATTTAAAAAATATGATTATTGTATACATGTGATAATTAGGATAAGTGTTTTAGTTTTTAATTTAATAAGTACCGTCGATTACAAAACATATAACAACAACCTTTACCTAGAAAAATTGTAAGAAATTATTTTATTGATAATTTTTTTTGCACTACTCGCAATTTTCTTTTTATAATATCGGAAATATTATATTGTCCAAATTTTGACTGATGACAGTTTGACAACTGACAGCTGCTTTAAATACGTTTAAAGGGTTAACCGTAGGAAATCGGACGTTTAGAATTTATAAACGTGTTTAGCGAAATTTGTAGTGGTGAAAAACAAAATGTAGCTTCGAACATGTTTAAACGTTTTAATCGTTATACTCGTGAACGGATGCTGCTTGTAGGGACTGATCTGCTCTAATCACTATAACTGATTTCCTCTTATTAATTATTTAACCAATTGGTTGTATACTTAATATTTTTCCTATTTGAGTATTTAATTGAATTGGTGCTAATTGGTAATTTGTATTCACACACTTAAACTTAAAAATGCAAAGTAAGAATAAAATTATTTAAAAGAGCAACACGCAAGTTTCTTTCTCGTTCTTCTTATGATGAGACATCTTTCCTAATGAGCGGTAAATTAAAAAAAATGTGATGACTATTCAATTTTTTTTTTTATACCACTTAAGTGGCAAATAAGCATACGGCCCATCTGATGGTAAACGGCTACCGTAGCCTATGGACGCCTGAAACACCAGGGGTGTCACATGCGCGTTGCCGACCCTTAAGAAACCTTAATATACCCTTCTTGAAAACCCCCATGCTGTAGTCTCTCGAGAAAACCTCGGCAGGGAATTCATTCCACAATGTAAGTTTAATTGAATAAATGATTTCTATTCTAATCGCGTTCAGTTCAAACTAAACGCGATCTGTTTCTTCGGTGAAATCCAGCCTCAGGTTGTTACGAGTTAAATTGCACTGTACACCAGTATGGTTGCTTTGCTGCAGCGTCTCGTTGAGACCAATTTATTTATATATATATTGCATCTTGTACATTCACAGTGTATATGCGAAACAGTAGAAAGTATTTCTTGTTTGTGCTCGTAACCTTTTGATGAAATATCATTACATTAATAGTAATATCTTACGACAATTTACACAGCGCCATCTAGTCCTACGCCAAGTAGAGCCTGTTTTATAGGTACTAAACAACTGATATAAATATATAGATACGTTTTTAAATAGATAGAAAAAGAAAATAGCCAGATAGGAACAATCATAATCATGAAGACAAATGTTTGTACCGTGCGAGGAATCGAACCCGCGACAATTGGCTGTAAGGCGGTGTGCTAAACTACAGAGACTAATTACAACATTGATTATATTATAACACTAGCTGTACCCGAAATTCCATTTCCTTTAATTTTTTTTTTTAATTCAAAAATCATTTATTTATGTAGGACATTTTAGTTGCTTATGAACGTCAAATTTTTTACATTATAATTTTATTTTTTTCCCTACCGTCCAGTTCGGTATATAGATCCAATTGATAAGAACTGACAAGAAACTCAATTGAATTACTTTTTTTTTCTTTCAGCATATTGGTTAGTGTAGTTAGTAAACTATACTTACCAATTTGCAACAAGTCAGTTATCGAACTCGCTATCTTCATAAAACAGAAATGAAAAACTCAATTCAACATCAGAGCACTCGCGGGCACAGCTTTGTAAAACAAATTTAATACATAAAACAAACTCTGAGTGAATTTCTCTCAGAAAATAAGCGAATACAAATTCAATGCTGGAATTGAACGCACTGTCAACCGGGAGCGGGGTCAGTTACCAACACAATTGTATTATAATGACGGAAGAAAAGAATCCCAACACGAAAATTGGAAAGAAGGAACGTAACGCTTGTAAATCAGGACTCACAATCAGCGAAATCAGGATAGAATAAGTTTGAATTGCTTTTATTGGGGTTGAACTTCATTATGGGGGTGAAGTGGAGGCGGCAGAGGACGAGGGAGGAATTATAGCAATTATGCAAATAAGTTGTCAATTTATGACACCCTTTTGTAAGTTAGTATTCTTAAATTACTGCCGATGATAAAGACGCGTAATGCGAGTTAAAAGTTTGACCGTGGAGTTAGTCTCACTAATTAACTAGGATTAAAATTAAACCGAGCTTACGATAATATCTGTGTTCTATGAATTGAAGAGGACATTTTGCTGTAATAGAAATTGTTGGACTTCATAGTGTATTGCTGGCCACTTAAAGCTACTTTTATTTTCTTTAAAAAGAATGTACATAAATTTGAGTTGTTAATTTTGTCATAAGAAAAATATACGATTTTATTTTACTCTTTTTTGCATCGATTTATTTTATATAGTTATAGAGTAGATGCAATAGCTTTCTGCACATAAAGAAGTGACATACAAACATAATACATACAATATTATCCACCACAGAAATAGAAATATTCAGTACTAGTTATACTCGCGGTTTACCCACATGAAATTTGTAGTCTAGTCTGTGTTATTCTGTATTACTGTAAAGTTTCATCAAAATCAGTTTGGTATTGTTTTCGTGAAGAAGTAACAAACATCCATCCACACACACATTGACTTTTGTGATGTGTTCAAATATTATAAACTCGTCTTGGCACAACAATACTGATATAAAAGATATTAATATAATATAATATAAAAGATATTTATTTATTTATTTAACTTCAATGCACACAATATACAAAATATAGTAAAGTACATTTGGCTGACTTAACACCATACGGCAGTTTCTACCAGGCAACCATAGGTGTAATAATGTAAATTAAATATTGTAATGGGTGAAAACTGTGATTGGTACGGCCTATGCTGTAAATAATATAATTGACGAAGTAGGGTAACTTGAAACAGTCATATTCGCTATAAAGTTCAAACTTGTGGCGGCGTGGTGGGCCGTGTCCATGTGCTCCCTCTAATATGGTTGAGTGCAATGATGGCTGGCTCATCCGTCATACTCGTGAACGGGTACCGCTTGTGGGGACTGGTCTGTTTGGGTTGCGAACACTGATTAGACTATTTGCTTTTGCGATAACATATGCTAGTAGTCACGCTATTCTCCCAAGTTTGAATGTAAAAATTAATCTGTATTATTGTAAACATGTATAATATTAATTTGAAAAGAATACGAGCTGTGTTTCTTGTCAGTTCTTCTCATCTCAAAATCATTCCGAACTGACGGTAGATTTGACATATCATAAGAGTCTGTAATAGACCTACATGTATAAAGATATTTTGAATTTGAATTTGAATTCTATTCTATTCTAAAACTTGTTACTTACCAGCTTTAATCAGTATAAAATAAATTATATATTTTAGGACCCATAATTTTCTATTACACTAAGTTATAAACTTATTTTTTATAGTACTAAGTAAGGTCTTAAGAGCTTAATAGTCGATATAAATTCCAGTTTGTTATTAAAAGTATTAACCGCTAAAAGCTCGTATAGAAAATACTTTCATTTAGATCAGTGATTCTCAAAGTGGTCTATATAGATAGATAGATAGATATATCGTTTATTTGTTTGTTACACACAGTTTTATAAGACTATAAAACTGTGTCATTATGTGTGATCTGTAGCAATACAAAAAGGTCGAAGCACAGCGTGGAACATTGTTCAGGGAACAAAACACTGATTTTCAGCTTCATTTGAGGGTACGTGAAAATAATAATTAAAATAAATATAAAATAAAGAGAGCAATATAATTGGTGATTGTCTGTGCGGTATGTGTATAATAAAAATAATGTAAATAGTTCACAGTATAATTACATATAATTTTAACTAAGTGGTAAGGACTAAACGAGAAAAAAGAAAATATTAATAAGAAAAAAAAAAAAGAAAAAAAATTAAAAATCGTTACGTGAGATTGCAACCGCTAGCCAAGAAATTTCTGTGGGATACCTAAAATTTGTTTTTTTTTAATAAGTATTCTTTGTGAGGTTTTTTAAAACTGTGTACGGTAATTAGGTGCCTGACTGATGGCGGGATGTTGTTCCAACGTTTTGTTGCTTGGTATCGGAAGCTGCCAGTAAATGCCACTGTTCTGTGCACTTGAAATGATAATTTCGAACAAATGAACCTAACTCTCTCTAAATCTCTGAATATATAGATAGATAGATAAGTTCTTTATTCAACAATTACAAACACATACCATACATGAGATACATTTTATAAATATAAATAAAGTGGAGAAAAAACAAAAATGGAGGTGGCTTTATGTGTCGCAATGATGAAGAGGCAACCAACTCAGCATGAAGCTACAGATAAGTCTGCAGCGCTGATATTCTGTTGGCTCCTATAATTAAATACATACTTACATACATATATATATATATATCGGCCCCCAGGGGTCTATGATAAACTGTAAGGTCTACGACAGCGGTTTTTACTTTATGTTTTCAACACTAAACTTTACTGTAGTAATTTGTAAATTAATTTATTGTTTTTTTAAAAAATCAATGGCAGGTAAGAATGGGGGGTCTACCCAAAACAGAAAAATATAGCAAGGGGTCTACGACACAAAAAAGTTTGGGAACCTCTGATTTAAATGGTCAGGTGATAAACTAAAAGCCTTTCTATATATCTATAAAACCTTATAAATATCTATACATACAAATAAAATTGGAGTGTCTGTTTGTATTATTGAAATAACCGTTTTTACTACATGCATATTAATATAAATACGATACATACACCAAAATATTTTTTTTTACAATTTTTGTTTGTGTTTCTGTCGGTCTGTTTGTTCGGCTAATCTCTGAAATGGCTGTACCGATTTTGACGGGGTTTTTTGGCTGTAGCTGATGTAATAAGGAGTAACTTAGTCTACTTTTATTTTAGAAAAATAAAATAAAATTCCACGCGGACGAAGTCGCGAGAACAGCTAGTTTATAATAAATATTATATAATTTTATTTTTTTAACAAACAATCATATATAAATACTATCTTTGTAATCCAACTATCTCCCATAGTCGCAGGTTTGATTCCTCGCTCATACTTGTACACATGAGTTTATAGGTCTGGTTTTCCTTGTATATTATGTAACATATTTACAAAAATATATATCTGAGTATTTCTAACAGTTGTCGAGTACCCATAACAGAAGCTCTGCTTAGCTTGGGACTAGATGGCGCTGAATATTGTGATATCACGGCGAGTGTTCTGAGGAATTGTTCGGATTAATACCAGCTGCTGAGTTTCACCACCGTACCACCCGCCAGAAACTGAAATACCATCCTGATCATCTGGATGAATGGCGGTCTTCCACAGTGCGGTTTTCTAGAAACTTTTTGCCTCGCACAACCACATTGTGGAATCACCTTCCAGCAATGGTATTTCCGAACCGATACGATATTGAAACCTTCAAGAAAAGAGCTTATTCCTTTTTAAAAGCCCGACAACGTACTTGCAATTCCCCTGGTGTTGCGGGTGCTCATGGGCGGCGGTAATCACTTACCATCAGGTGAGCCGCATGCTCGTTTGTCCCCTGTGTTATTGTGTTAATAAAATTAAATTTTTATATAACTCAAAGAAATTTCTTCACAAATATAACATTTTATCATAAAAGTGGCTGCGTTTAGTTAAAATACATCGCTTATATCGTAGTCTTTTACCATATGTCTGTCTATTACACAAAGGAAGGCTACGGACCCCTTTTCAGCATGCAAGTCGTTTACGGACATAGCGAGTGAGTTATCGATACAAAGTTCCGACTCTCTTTATGTAGAAAATATTCACTGATCGCACTGATCGATTTATTGAACTAAAATATATTTTCATTGTATTATATTATATAACTGACTACCCGCCCCGGCTTCGCTCGGATGTACATGTATTGTATATATAAACCTTCCTCTAGAATCAGTCTATCTATTTAAAAAAAACACTTATAAATCATTTGTGGGGTAATCATTTTGCTGCTTGTAGGGACTGGTCTGCTCTAATCACTATGACTGATTTCCTCTTATTAATTGTTTAACCAGTTGGTTATATATTCAATATTTTTTCTATTTGAGTATTTAATTGAATTAGTGCTAATTGGTGGTTTGTATTCACACACTTAAACTTAAAAATGTAAAGTAATAATGAAATTATTTAAAAGAGCAACACGCAAGTTTCTTGCTCGTTCTTCTTGTGATGAGACAGCTTTCCGAACGAGCGGTAGATTAAAAAAAATGTAATGACTATTCAAAAGTGCTTCAATGTAAGTTTATTTGAATAAATGATTTTCTATTCTATTCTATTCCTCTAAAATCAATGTACCTAATAGTGCCACCATTTAAATTGTTCCCAATTTATAAACCTCTGTAAACTTTAGTAACGCAGTAAAGTCGTGCCCTAAAAACCTTTGTAACAAAGGTAGAATGATTTCCGAGTTTCTGTGCGAGTGAAGCACTTGCATTTCCTTTCTGTGTCCCTTTGCCCTGAATATAAGGTATGTAGGTTTTATAGGTATGTTTCAACGTTTATACGAAAATCAAAAGTCGGCCTGTAAATGTTGATTCACATTTTCACTAGGATTCATTTGCAGTAGAATTTATTTTGTTTGCTGTAGTAGGTGTTTATTGGTCGTCTCAGTTGATTTACGGTCTCCTCTTATCACTACGACTGATTTAATCTTATTATATATTTATATTTGACCAAAAATAAATTAGTGCTGGTTGGTAGTTTGTATTCACACGTTTCGACTTGTAAATGTAAACTTACAAGGATTATTTGAAAGAGCAACACGCGAGTTTCTTGCTCGTTCTTCTTGTGATGAGATAGCTTTCCGAACGAGCGGTAGATAAAAAAAAAATTGTTATAACTATTCAAAAGTGCTTAAATTTAGATGGCGAGCGGTGCGGTGGTA